AAGGACAACTGTTTAGATTAATCACAACACCTTAGCCCAAGTGATACAATCAGCAACACTATAGCATCAAATATATCTTAGAGAATGACAATTTGTGGTAGTTATTTATCTATCACCTTTAAAAATGAAGGACCTCCTTCAGGGTATGTCTCTGCTGTCACAGTAGACAACATGGACAGCAGTGTGTGCAGTTATCAGTCAGTGAGTCTCAGTAAGCTAGTCCCAGACCTGTGAGATTCAGGCAGATTACAGGTTCCAATGGGAGCTGATGATAAGTTGAGCTCCCTGTCCCTCCAACTTACCAATCATGGTGGTCTGGTGTGCCTTTATTGCACAGATTCCCTTCACTTTTCCAGTGGGCTTGTTTTCTTCAGAGAGCCTGAGGCAGGCCCTCTCTCTGTTGTTCACTTCTGCCACTCCGGACAATGGCTTTTATGTCCTCCTGTGCCTCTGCAATGTGTAACCAAGTAGCTGCAAGGCCAAGAGGCCTGAGGCTGTGGGGAGGGCTGTTGTTGGAGGCACCTGCATGGCCAAGCCATCGGCTGGTGGGCCTGCCTGGGGTGGGGGCCTCCTCACCCTGTCCTGGTGGCAGGCTGGTGGAGCCTGACCTCTAAAGAACATTTTATATATAAATATGTCTCTGTGTGGTACAAAATTTATTAATTAGTTTATATTATTAGAGTGGAATTCCTAAGAGAGAGACTATGTTTTCCTTTAAGTATGATGACTATTGACAGACTGGCCGCCAGGAAAGTTGTTCTGACCTCCTTCCATCTATAACACATGATAATTCTGACATATTTAACATACTTCAAAGATCTGAGCAAATCTATCTCTTTATAATTGGCATCGACCCTGTCCTCCCTTTTTATATCTTGTTTTGATCAATTCACTGGAAAAACAGGTCTATGATTGTAACATGGTCTTTGGACTGAAATGTTTATAAGATTACTTAAGCTCTTTTTGTAACGGTTCCTCAAGATGAAGTATAGTATGGTCAAAGTTATGACAAAAACGTGTTCACTGAAAATTATAGAAATTTGTTCTCTTCCTGGTTTTCATCGCAGGTGACCTGGTGTCCTAGTAGCAATCAGGGTGTCTGGATTTATCTCCACTTGGCCACTGCATGGATGGGCAACTTTCAGCAGGAATGTCAGTAACACCGTTCTTTAATTCTCTCCTCAGTAACGGTCACTTGCCTCACAAGATTGTTGGGTAAAAAGAAATACTAACAGGTGCTAGCAATGGTATTTGGAATAGTGATTTATAGCTTCCAAAGTACTTTAATATCCATTATCTCTTAATCTTCATAATAGTCTCATATGGTAGATAAGACATTTTTATTATTATGTTTTTTTTTTGTTCTATTTTGTTTTTTTTGGTACAGGGGATTGAACTCAGGACCTTGCGCTTGTGAGGCAGGCAACCTAAATCCCTGGCCCTTTTATTTTCATGTTTTTAAAAAAACTAATACATTGCTAAGATTTGGTAACAATATCAAGAAAAGTTTCTTTGAGAAGCTGAAAGTACTTCACAAATGTAACACCAAGAACTAGATATACAAACATTTTCCAGTCAAGGGACTTCAGAAAAGCTTGCAAATGTATGGCATTTCTCCTTCCAATATTCCTAGGGGTGTTGACTACAAGAAGAAGAGTTATGTGACCAAAACTTCTCCCTTGCTTTTCCCACCAAAATTCTTGTGTATGGTTATAGGGAAAGGCTAACCATCAGAAAACAGACTTGTGTGTGTGTGTGCGTGCGTGTGTGCATGTGTGTGTGTTACCTGTAAGTGGGTACATTCCTTAAATACTTAGAATTCATCCTACCTATTCCCATGGACAACAAGACAGCATTTGCTGCCCTCTGTCACACTGGACCCCTTGTTTGTGTGTCCAGTTTCCAGCTCCCATTTTCTCAGCTCCTTCTGGAACAACTTCATCTCAGGCACGGCCATGGGACCTTGGGAAACCCATTCAGGATGCATCACATACTGGGTTTATTAGGGTGAACTCTAAGCACAGGACACCCTGCTCTTTAGAGGAGACATGTGTCCTGGCAGAGTAACTTCGTATTTTGCTCACCTATCCTTGAAGGACAAATGACAAATGGTGCATGTGTGGGTGCGTGCATGTGTGGGTGCATGTGTGTGTGTGTGTGTGTGAGTGTGTGTGTGTGTTTTGGAAGGGTGCTTGAGGGAAAAGAAAGTTCTAACATGAAAATAAACATAAGATAACGTTCCAAAACTTGGGTTACGCCTCTTTTAGCTACTGATCCAAAATACTCTTAAACTCTTGTTTTCATCAAACAGAAAGCAAGAAAGATTAAATCTTAAAGTTTCTTGTGAATGTACTAATAATTGAACTATAATGAAGAAGTGAACTTTTCTCTCCAGCTTAGATTATGCCAATAATAACTCTTGGACACTCACAATTTCTATAGTATCAGATAAACAGTGCAATATGCATTTCTCACTTGGAGATCAAATCTATTTGTTAATTTATCCAGGATTATTTAACTGCCTTCTCATGAAAGAGAAGCCTGTGATCACGCACATGACACTGCCTTTTACTGCGGATACAGGTGGGAAAAATAAAAAAATTAACAGAGATAACTGCTTTATAACTGGCTAGATTTAGAGAAGTTTTTCCAATGTAATTCAAGAATAGTGATTGAAAGCCTCCTAAATTTCCTGCAGAAATTCAGGATTCCAAAGTAGGTGAACTAATACTCCTATCTTGAAGTCATTCCCAATTCACCTAGCATTTTAGAGTTTTTGACTTGGAGGGGAATTTGAGATTTTTACTTCAAAAATTTCACTTTCTAGATGGGAAAACATATCCAGTCATGTGAAGTGTAAGTATTTCAGTTGTTATTCTTTAGTTTCAAGTAACAGAAGCCGGGGGCGGGGAGACTGAAGAGTTTAGCTTTAGGCACAAATGGACAAGGAGGTCAAATAATTTCTCTCTTCGCTTCTCCTCTTCTCTCTTCCCCCCACTCCCACCACCTTCCTCCTCCTCCCATCCCCTGGTTCAATTTCATCTTGACTCCTTTACCTCCTACTTCAAACAGGTTTGCTTCATGTGCAGGAAAGAGGATGGCCTGGGGCCCTGTGATGGACCAACCCAGCTCAGGGTCTTTCTGTTTTCCTTTGGGGGCTGAAAGAAGGACCCAGAAGGACTCTTAGGTCTCAGGTTTAGCCTTTCCAGCGGTCTCACATATTTGGAGTGGGATGAAGACTTGTAAGATTACACAGTAAGATGGAGTTTCTGAGACAGGAAACAAGTCCTTAGACTGTAAGATTTCTGACACATGAGCAGGCTTTGTCTGTTAAGGGGTCTGGGGTCTGCTTTTCTTAGCTGCCATGATGCCCATGATGGCATTCAGTACAAGAGCCACTGCTATTCCTAGCTTGGATTTCAGTCATTATCTGCAGTTCTAGTACATATTTGCTTTTAATACATAATTATTATATAAATATTAATCATATACTTGCTTTTGGTGCCAGGGATTGAATTTGGGTCCTTGTGCTTGCAAGGCAAGCGGCAGAACCACTGAGCTAAATCCCTGGCCCTAAAAATATTTTATTTATTTAAAATTGTATTAAATATATTTTCTTTTTACGAAATTCATTTCTAATCCTTTTGGAAACAAAGTCATTATAAATATAACAAATTATACTGACCAACACCTCACTTTTCTTGGTGCTTATCAGCATGGGGTCTCTCATCAGATGCTCTCATCCAAGTTTAGTATTGTGAATGGACATAGTGATTTTTCAAATATTCTGGATTCCATGAGTTTTACAGGTGAAATTCATGGACTTTGGTTCCTATGTTTTCTATTTATTTGTGTATTTATAATGGATGGCTCTTTTGAAGAGAAATACTCCAGCACCCTCCCACTGGTTAACTGCAGATTGGATTTAATACTTTAGGTTTCTACATTTTCAGTCATGCCCGTGGGTCTAACAAGCAAGAACTAGATCCAGTCCACAGATTTGCAGATGTAAAATAATGGTAAAGATGAGACGATACTTGGTTAATGTGTTTTTAGGTCCAACATTTTCATTTTCTGATAATCTGATTTTGACTGAAAACGTACTGTTATCAAAAAATTAAGAGAAGTTATGAAGCATAGTGTATTTCAGAGAACTGAGATTGCCCTGTGAGAAGCTCTTGGATATGTGTGCATCTGCTGGCTGTGTTCAGCCTTCTGTTCATGAACTTGCCAGGCTGTTGCTCTTAACAAGCTCTAAGCATAGGAATAAGGGCTGAATGCCAAACCCCAAGTGTTGGGGACCAAGACTGCTTCTATCTTGCTACTCTGCCATCCCATCTTCAGCTTCCGATTCCATCAGAGCTGCCATGGAGCAGGAGGTCTACACCTCTCCTTTTAATGTCACACTGCAGGCTTCACTTCTAAAAAGTGCCTAGACTCGTATTCCCCACCTTCTCACCTGAGATTTTAGGTTTGTGCAATTAATTGTTTTCTACTTTAGCTATCTGGAAATCTTATGTGGAGACTCTAATATCAAGAGAAAGCTTGGAAAAAAGTCATTGCATTACCGTGTTAATCAGGATTTTAAGGAGATTCATGGCAATGTGAGTTGCTCATTCAACATTTATTAAACTCAGGGTACATAGTTGACAACCACACTTGGACTTTGCTCTTAAAACTCTTACAACTTGAGCTGAGGAGCTTTTGATGTCATCCTACAATAAAGTCTGTGGGTACAAGGTATGTTATCCCCCACCCTGAATTCTAACAATAAAGTATTTCACTGTGTGTTTCTCTGTGGGAAAGGAAGGGGATATTATATGAGTAATATGACACTGAATGCTCAATGTTTTCCTCTAAATCAGTGTGTCTTAACCTTTGCAAAATCTCTGAATCCTGATTTGTACTTTACCAAGACAATCTGTAAAGTGTTGGATACTTTGTACTGGAGGGTCCTGTTGGGTGGAGTCATGGGTACTACTTTGTGTGTTCTTTTGGATTGTTTTTATTTTACTATTTAAAACCCTTTATTCCACAAAGAGTAAAAATAATCACTTAATTTATTATATCCAATTGAATTTAAGAGTTTCAAAACTTAAAAGAAAATTTAAAATAGTCATTCTCTTACTTGCTATGCTTTACCTGATGGCAAGAACGTAGTTTTGGCTTCAAAAAGGTCAGAATGTAATTTCTTACACTGAGTGGCATTGGTTTCTTCTGGACTCTTATGAAACAATGTTTCTTTTGTTACTCTATTGGCACAACAGAACTGGGAGTTTTGTTTTGTGTGACTATGCTCTAGGATCTGGAAGCTTTCCTGCAACTTTGCCCTCTTGTCAATAGGAGAAACTGTTTTCATATCAACAGAGTTGGTGAAATCACAAACATAGTAGCCATTTATTAATATTCTCATGTGGGTCCAAATATTTTCTCCCCTTAGCAATCCTCCCCTGCAGTACTAGGGCTGCACCCAGAGTCCTGGCACTGACACACTCCAGCTCTTTTTACCTTTTCTTTTCTTTAATATTCCTTGTGCACAGACACAGACTTTGTATGTATAGGTGCTCAATTCAGTGTTAGCTGAGCAAATTAAGAGGAACACAGATGAATGCAATGAGGTGTAATGAGTGCCATCACAAACGCAGGGAGACAGACTTTACAGAAGAGGAAGTCCTTGGGTCAGCTGAAGAGTCTGGGGAGGACGCAGGGTGGGAGGACTCGGAAGCTCTGGCTCAAGTGCAGCACAGTGCGGGGTGATTGCTCGCAGCTCGCCCTTTCTGAAGAGCAAAGCGTGGAGCCGAAGGGTGAGCAGCTGGAGCTGGGCTCGAAAAGCTTGGGCATCAGCATAAGGAGCTGGCTTCTTGCAAGTTTTTAAAATAACTGAGTAGCAGGAAGAGTTCTTCCCCCTATGAAAACAGGTCCAGCGGAAGTAAATAGAAAGTTTATTAAGAACTGCTCTTTGTTTAGAGTAAAATATTTGAGACCAGAGTTAAATTAGGAGACTGTTGTAACAATGCATGAAAGAGGTGACAAAGGCCCAGGTTACGAATGGGATGAAAGAGGGGATCATGATAGTTTTGGAAGAATCACAAAGTAAAACAATATGAGAAATTAAAGGTGTGGAAGGGTGAAGAAAGCGAGGGCGTTGCGAGTGAGTCCCAGGTCCCAGTCAGCCAAAGGTGAGCAGCTCCCTGAGGAGGAGGAGCAAAGAGAAATGGTTCCATTCAGGGTGAGTGGACGTAGGGGCCAGGTGGGCGGGCTGTCTGGAGGGTCCCGGGCTGGAGATGTGGTCTGGGGAGTTACCTGGGTCAAATGCAGACGTGGAGGTGGGTTACACTGCATGAGACGGTAGCTGAGAGAAGAGAGACGCTGGCAAAACTTAGAGCTCTGCAGAACGCCCCACGGTAGGGAGAGGTTAAGGAAGACAAACCAGCAAAGGAGACACTGAATGGTCAGGGTACTGGAGAATTCTGGCTCATCTGAACTCATGAAGGGAACTGAGGCATTTATATAGGGAAGAATTAAGACTAAATGCCATTAGGATGCAAGGGAGATGAGCACCTAAGACTGTAATTAAATTTGAGACGGAGTCATGATGACTGTTCTTTGAACTACTTCAACAGGTGGTCCAGTAGACAGCAGACTTCAGTGGCCTCAGAACCAACAGGTCACTAACACCTAACCAAATGCCACTTATCACATTATTCCTTTACACATTCAATTCTAAAAGAAAGACAAGTCGCAGTACCTAAAAAGAAAGTCAGGGTTGGGGAGAAAGCTAATTTGCATGTTTATCTGTTTCAAAAGAAAAGGAGAGATGTGAACATTATATCCAAACCCTTGTTACCAGCCCTGGCCCTCTGAGCACAGTCTTGTGTCCATAGCAACATTTGGTACACCTTGGAATCACTGTAGCCACCTCAAACCCAACATGTCACCTTATATTCCAATATAAAGAAACCAGTTCTTCCTTCTGCGTTTCATATCACCTCTCAATAACTCACCCTCCAGCAAGCACTTTAAATAAATGGCCACCCCTTCTAGAGCTTGGCTACCTGCTCATATTCTCTCTTCTAAGCCCCTGGGACGCAGCCTAACCCTTTCCTAAGGAGATCCCAGCCTCCAGCTTTGTGCTGCCTTCCACCTTGAGGCCACCCACTCCCACAGATAAAGACCCAAGCTCCTTAGCAAGGACCCTCACCACTTACACATGCATACCAGGCAGGCTCCTCTCCAGGAATGCCAAGGGACTACAGCCCTGGAAACCCCTTCCTGTTGCCCTTTTGTTGCTGCTTCTCCTGGTCATCTAGAACAACTTTTTGTACTGTGAGGAGCTAGCTCCTACGCATCTCCCAGGGATCCTCCTAAACGTCACACCCATCGTTTAGCCTTCTCCTGAACCTTCCTTTCCACAGGGGGGCTAAGTGTCCTATAACATTATAATGGTAGACACCCCATGCTGAAGAATGATGTGATTCTCCCCCGCTAGAATTTGAGCTCTTAAGGTCAAGAATGGTTCACTGCTTGGGCCACTCAGTGGCCAGTGGAATGGGTGGGTAAAGGTGCTTAAGAGAAGAGGAGCCATGCAGAGGTTTGAGAAGTGGAGAGTGAGGGTGATGCATTATGGGTTAACTTTGGATGTAAGCGTGCCTAAGAGGAAGGAGGGCTGAGGTAGAGACTGACGGTAGTGGTAAGCATGAAGGGAATTTCAGAATGGAGGCTCTCTTTACTTCATGAACAGGTGGCTGGACAGAGTGAATATTCAATCACAGTCTGGTGAAGGTGGCTGCAGAGAAGAGGTACATGAGATGAATTTGCTGGGAGACCAACTGCATAGCTTAGGACCAAGTCCCTGCCAACACTGCACTCTGGAGAGTGCCATCTCCTAAGGGCTCGCTCATATACTTGAACTTCTCTTCTGAAGCCAAGTTTTAGACATTTTTGCAGCATTTTCTCTGCATAAGTGTGCAAGGGCTTGTGCCTGAAGGTCTTTGCTTCTCCTCCAGGCTGCACACTTGCCACCAGGGCTGGCATGGGTCACCAAGATGCTGCTGTTGGTCGAGTCCAGGGAAGTGTGACTCACAGTGAGGCTGTCAGCACTGTGTGAAGAGTAGCTGTAAACTAACTGGAGAAAGGCTGACTTTGTGTTAGTCTCTTGTTTGCAAAGAATGACATAGCATTTGGGGAAGAATGTGCAACACAGGATCCCATAGTTGGATATTAAGATGACAATGATCTCCACAGCAGGCAGATACTTGCCAAATGTGGTAGCATAGACAGGGATGAAAGTGGCCCATGCTATGAAGCAGATGAGCAGGCCAAAGGTTATGAATTTGGCTTCGTTGTAATTCTCAGGTAACTTCCTGCCTTTGAAAGCAAATATGAAGCCAAAGAAGGCCAGGACTGCAATGTAGCCCAGCATGGTACCAAGTGCCAGCACAGACCCCTCGTGGCATTCCAGGATGATGACCCTGGGCAAGGACACATTCTCCTCCACCACAGGAGCTGCGAAGGTGAGCCAGAGGGTGCAGATGAGGACCTGGATTCCAGTGCACGTGATGATGATGGGGACCGGTTTATAGAGACACTTCAGGGAGTTCCGCAACTTGGGGTCAAAGCTGAACGCCAGCAGAATTTTCAGGGACTTCATCAAAATGCAGGAGATGCACAGAGTAAAGCTCACGCCAAATATCATCTGCCTGGTTTTACATGCGAAGTCTTGTGGTTCTCCGATGAAGAAGCCAGTGCTGACGAAGTTGAGGAAATGGCAGAGGAGGATCACGTAGCTGAGCAGTAATCCCCCGGAAGATTTCACAACAGGTGTGTTCAGGTTTCGTGTAAATATTATGCCAATGGCCAGGACAAAGGCGATTCCCAGAAGGGAGAAGGCCACTAGTAGGACAGCCAAGGCATCGCCCCAGTTGAGGAACTCTACCTCCTTCTCAAAACACGTGGTGCTCCTCACAGGGGCCCAGTGAGTTTCACTGTTGCACAGGAGGCAGTGATCCATGTCTAAAGGACAAAAGAGAGTCAGCAACCTTGCAAACAATTAAACCAGGCAATTGCCCACAATACCACAAATGAAGCTTCCAGGGCACTCATCCCAACCATAAAACAGATACAGGTAATTATAACAGCAGTTTCTTATTAAAGCATCACAGAACTCAGAGAAAGAGAGAGTGAAACAGCAAAGGTGAGTAAAGAGGGCGAGGGGAAAAGAAAAAAGAGACAAAAAGCCAGCTGTGCCATGAGCCTTTAGGACATTTACATTTCAGGATAGACACTAGCAGCTTATACACTTTCTGTTACAGATGGCAGTTCAGGCCCTCTGATGGGAATGCGTGATTTGGAATCAAATATCGCCCCAATTCCTGTCTTTTCTCTACCACCCGTGAGTCCTGTACTCTTTTTTTTGATACTGGGGATTGAGCTCAGGGCCTTGAGTCCTGTAATCTTGAACAAGTGCATTGAACTTTCTGATCCCCTTTCCAACCCTACCAACCCCAAGGGTGCCACATTCAGAATGCTGCACAGAATAGACCCTCAATGTGCTTCTCCTCCAGGCTGCACGCTTGCCTGGAGCTGCTATTAAGAATGAGGCTGCAATTCTTTGCAAAGCAGAAGTAACATAGCTGGGTTGCCTTAAAAGCTGGAAGTTCCTTTCCAAAAGTGAGATGACACAAGATAATCCTATCAGGACAGCTGATGAAGAACTGAAGTTTATTTGTTTCCCAGGGTTAGGGTTAGCATACTTGAGCCTTTTACACTGTCAGTGACAAACCAGAGCAATGTTTGTGCAAGTCCCACCTGCAGGGCAGCATGTGATCTCTGGGAGTCGGGCTGCATTTGCTCCCCATTCCCACCACCGATGATGGATCCTGATGCTTCTGAAAGGCCTCTCTCGGGACATCATCTGACTACATGGGGCAAAAGTCAAAAGGCTCATTCAACTTTTTAGAATGTCCACGTTCTCTTCTGTGTTAGCCCCGAAGCAAGGTTGTGGTTTTATCCATAAACTTTATGACCTTCCCAACATCCTTCTCTTTCCAACACCTGTTTCCCTGCAAGTATTCTTCTGTGTTTTCTTTTTACCCCCGGCTGCTATTACCTGCCCTTTCATTCACTCAGTGGACATTTAGGGTCTTGCCCCGCAGACAGCCATGAGTGAGAGATGTGGAGAGATGATGAGCTTCCAGGATGCACTCATTCCTGAGTTTTCCTCCACAGAGTCCTCCTCGTCTGCACTTGCCCTGGTCATCCAAAGATGCAATACAGATTGGACCTAGAAAGACTTCGGTATCTTTTTATGGGAAATCAATGTGTTTTTTTCTACTTGGAGGATAGCTGCTAAGGCACTGTGTTGCCAAAAAATTTCTCCCAGTTCCCTAATTGTTTATGCAGCACAGTTCCTCTAGAGTTAGAGTGCGTGGCATCTTAAAGGTGTTGACAAAACATGAACACTGGGATATTCCATTGCTGTACTTCTCCCCTTGAAGCCAGTAAGAAGAACAAATATCCATTTAGGAGCATTCTGGCTCTGAGATTTAGTTTTCACAGAAGAGGAACAGGGCTGTGGCAATCAATGAAGAAACATGATGCTTTCAAGTGGGCTTTGCTCCAAAGAAGGCGCCAATAGTTCCTCTTAGGGCTTCTAAGGCTGCTGACCTCAACCCTATACTTTTTGTGTATTTTGCTCTGATCTTGCCAAACTGATAAAGATAAGGTGGGCAAACAGTTGTTTACTAGCATCTCATCTCCACTAATACCGGGTCCACTTGTCTTACAGACGTCCCTTTTTTCTCAGGTGCAACCTTTGCCTCTTGGTAGGAACATTAAGCTCTCCGGGATAGGCACACCTGCTTCTTGGCTGGGAACCTCTGGGTTTCTACTGTGTCAGTTTAGCCAATTCAGCATTTACTTATTTGTACTTCTTGAGCCACAGTTACAAAGGATGGGCATACCAACAAAAGTTGGGGGAAAACTTGCTTTGTTTTAGGAGTTGCTGAGGAGGAAATATGTGTGAAGCAATGACTTTTTCACTGGAAGTGAAATTCCTTTCATGTCTATATTATTTATTGATCATATATCAAATGATATAATATGGGAAATTCCAAAATAAAATGAAATTTCATAGGAATTTTACCTAGCAGAACATAGGAAGCTTTTAAAATTCTTTTTAGATGAAAAAGTAAATAAAAATAAGATTTATGAAAAGAAAAATAGGCCCAAGGGAATAATTTATGTGCCCATTCATGCTGTCATGCCTGCAATTACCTGTCTGATTGCTGTACTGATTTTCGGGGCAGCTCACACAGTCATAGCAGCAGGTATGTTGGCTTCTTGTGCTCGTCTTCATTTGTCCTGGGCTGCATTCCTTGGAACATTTAGATAGAATTTGCTGCATTGAAAGTGAAAAGAAATTCCAAAAAGATTTTTTAAAGTATCTTAATTATCTTTGATTGAAAGATGTATTTAATAAATAATATTTTGATCATTTTTAGTACTACCAAGGTACTTTCTGCCCTCCTGAGATATGAACAAGCTTAAAATATGTAAAATGCTTCAGATGGAGAAACTGTTTTAGAAAGTATGTAGTTTTTGTCACATCAATGATGTCTGTAAGAAATGATGGCCATTATTTCCATCAGGCTGTTCCTCTGCAGAAAGAGAAATGTATAGTAGTAAAGAAGTAAGGATTTGGAAATTTCCAATTCTATGCTGAATAAAGAATTTTGTCAGATAAGAAAATAGTAAATTATAAACATATTCTTCAGAAGAAATTTCTTATCATATGATCTAAGAAGCCTATCCAGCCTCACTCTAAAATAAATTTTTTAAAAAAGGAGTATTTTAGGTTTATAACCCTAGCACTTTGGGAGGCTGAAGCAGGAGGATTATTAGTTCAAGGCCAGCCTGAGCAACTTAATGAAATTGTCTCCAAATTAAAAAAAAAAAAAAAGGATTAGGATGTAGCTCAATCCTCAGTACGACAAAAACACAAAACAAGCAAAACCAAAAATCTGTTAGTGTTAGTTAAAAAGACAACCTAAAATACTGAAAATTTGAGTCACAGTTCTGCATATCATGATGCAGGCAGCATTCTGCTTTTGTGGGATTCTCTGCTTCTGATCCAGCTAATACTTCTTTCACAAGAATTAGGCTGCATCATCATTTTCCAGTCCCTCTGTCATGGTACATCCTGTGAATTAATCTGTGTTATGATTTCACGTTTACCCTGGGAAGTCAAAACAGAGTGGTTAGTGAAGCTTTTCTCAGGATTCTCTGAACAGCTGCTGCTGAGTCTGGAACACAAAGTGTTAGGTCAACCACTGTTTCCTCTGGAAGATGAAGACCTGGGAGGAACAGAGAAACAGTCAAGTGTTGCTGCCCTGTAGCCACAAGCACTGGCTTTCTTTTTTTTTTAATTTTTTGACTTTCTGTTTTTCAACTCAATTATTTCTGATCTGGGTTTTAGCAGAAAGTAGATCTGCCTAGAGGATTACCCAGGCAAATGTCTAATCTGGGGTATTTATTCTCCTCCTGCCCAGCAGACACAAAGGATTTAACTGTCAGACGCAGTCGGGCATCAAGGGGGACAAAAAGAGCAATCTTACTTCCCACAGCCCAGCACTTTCTCCCCCAGCACCTCAAGAGACCGTGGGGGATCTTCTGAGGTCTTGGGCGTGAGCGAAGCAGGTATCGGGAGATGGAGGGCCATCTGATGTTTTGGACCAGCAATGTGGATGCCCTAACTAACCTCCCAATTAGCAAGCAGATCTTGAAATCTGACCACATGATCTCAGATATTATTCATTTTTATTATATTCTTGAAATATTTGTGGCTGTCTCCATCAGAAAGGAAGACTTTCCCCATCTTCATGTCTGCCCTCTCCAGTTAGTCATAAAAATCTCAGTCCCTGCATCCTGCCATCGCTCCCTCAAAGTACGTCTTTGATAAAGTCTAGAGATTAAATGTGGTAACGATTAAAAACGGTGCTTTTTGCGAAAATAAGAAAAATCTGCTCTGTACTCAGTAAGTAAGTTAGAATATTTAAAAGGCCCAGTGTGAGTTACAGTGTTTAGCAGGGGCTGGGTTCATAATGTGCTTTTGAGAACAATGATAATGATCATGAAGAATATGAAGGGAAGTTGAGAACACAGAAGTGTGGCTATATTTCTGTCTTCTAGGGAAAAAGCATCTTGCTTCACTGAAACTTCTAACAAGGAACATACCTTTAAATAAAATGGTTTACAGCACTACTATAACCACTTTTCCACCCACCAAATGTGTTCAGTGATTATTATATGCCAGGCATTGTTCTAATTGTTGGAGCCCTGTCAGGGAATAAAACAGAGAAATCATCCTTTCATAGTCCTTCAATTCTAGCTCAAAAGGTTGACAATAAACAAAACAACAATAAGAAAAATGAAGATGAAACAGTGACTAGAAGAATGAGCACCCAAGACCCTCACCCTACCCCTGACTGGCGCACCCAATCAGTCACTGCAATTTTAAATAGGGTGTCCAGGAAAAGCCTCCCTGGGAAGACAACATTTCAAAAAATACAGAAAAAAAGCAAGAAATTAACCACACAGATATCAGAGAAAATTATGACAAAGAAATGGCAGGAACAAATCCCTCCTCTTGGAGAGGGAAGCACAGGAGGAGGGGTTGCAGGTGAGGGATGCAGAGGTGAAGGGGGGCGGGGGGACGACAGGTAGTGTGGGGCTTTTAAAGAAAGTCTGGCTGCATGGACGGGTGCTTAGCAGAGCATGGTGTCGTGCAGGGCAGCCTGGCTGACTGCAGGGCCAGGTGGAGATGGAGGGTGGGATCTTGCCACAGTCACCCAGATAGCAGCTCGAATAGGCGTGAAAGGTGGTCGGCTTCTAGATACCTTTTTTGTTTTTGTTGTTGTTCAGTTGGTTTTAGGTTTTTTTTTTGGTACCGGGGATCAAACTCAGGACCTTGTGCTTCTGAGGCAGACTCGGGCCACCAAGCTAAATCGCCGGCCCTTGGTTTTAGCATTTTTGAGACAGGGTCTCACTATGTACTTCAGGCTGGCTCTGAACTCACTATGTAGTCAAGGCTGCCCTCCAACTCATGGCAATCCTCCTGCCTCAGCCTGCCCAGTGCTGGAATTACAGACATGACACCACACCCAGATACATTTTGAAAGCCAAACTTTCATCGAATATGGAGTGTGACACAGGGAGCAAGGAACCCAGCAGCTTTACTTCTTCATGAAGAGCTAAGACGGAGAATTTCCAATTACTGTGCAGGAGTAGCTTTGGAAGGGAATATTAGGAGCTCTGTTTTGGAGAAATTCAAATTGACTATTGGATGTTAAACACTTCCAACATTCAATGGCACAAGATAGACATTTCCATTGTAGACGTTACAATTGGGGATAGCAAGGAGTGGGAACAAAGCAAGACTAAAATCCAGGAAGGAAAATGTTAAAGCCCACAGTTCCTCTTTCGCATCCCCAGAAATCTGTGGCAAGTCATGAACTCCAAAGGGCTTGTTGGCTCTGGCCCTATGGCCCTTCTGCTGACTGGGGCTCCCATGTACTCTTTCTTTGGATGGCTTTGCTCACTCCTTGTAGCTTTCCTCAGACAATCCATGTTGGTGGCTCCTTCAAACTTCTGGGGTCTCCACTGCACCTTTGGCTTCACACTCACAGCTTCACACACGGCCCTCTCAGGAGCACACTGCCTGGCCTCCCAGGCCTTCTTCTGAATTCTGGGTGGAAGCCTTCCTGACCCCACGACTCCTGCATTCTGCATGCACCTAAAACCAGCACCATGTGGGTGACACCAAGGTCTGCTGCCAGCTGGAGCAGCAGGCGGGCTTCCTCCTCTCTTGGCTATGGAGGCCCAGGGCCTCTGAAGAAAATCTCAAGGTACAACTTCCCTAAGCCACTGCCATTCTGGAACATGGTGCTCTGGGGCTCTCTTCTCAAAGCAGTCTTTCACTTTTGCAATTTTGAGGCTGTAAAGGGTAGAGTTTTGCTGCTTCTTGTGATGCCCTCAGGCCATCTTTTCTAGTCTCCTGCTCCTTTTCAGCAATAAAGATCTCCTCTGCTCTATCTTTGCAGTACACAGCCTTACTGGAGCTTCCTTTCTGGCCAAACTCGAAACTCAAAATGCTGTAAATCTGCTGGGCTCTTTGCTCTTGATTCTCAATATAAAACTGGCTAGCCATGCCACTGCTTTGACATTAGACTGGCTTGAAATTTCTTCTGCCAGATTAATTAGTCCACAGCCCTTAATCTCAGTCTCAGGCAGTCTCTGGACAGGAGCAAATTGCAGACATACTTTTGCCAAGGCGTAACGCACATGGTCTGGAGTCCAGCAGCCAGTGCAGCCCTTCTTCCCAGCAGACACCTCCTGAGCCTGGCCTTTACCAGCAGAATTTCTATCAGCATTCTGGTCTTCTGAGCTCTGACCAGAATTTCCCATCCAGTACAGCCTCAGGCATTGCAGCTCTGCTTTTTCAGGCAGCATCTCCACATCTCCTAAGTTCCCCTTCTCACAAGCCAGCTCCAAAGGCTCCTGAACCACATCGTCAGGAACAGCAACGACCCCACTTCCCTGGTACCAAATTCTGTCTTAGCTAGTTTCTCATTGCTGAGACAAAATACTCAACACCCAAAGTTAAAGAAGGAAAAGTTTATTTGGGTCACAATTTGTAGAGGATTCAGTCCAATAATCAGCTGTCTCCGAAACAGGGTGGCATGGCAGACAAGGTATTGCAGAGGCAAAACAGTCCATGGCAGGCAGAAGGTAACGAAGCAACAGGAGACAACCACGGCTCTTTCTGTCCCTTACATCTTATCCAGGCTACTTAGGGGTGTAGCATTCACAGCCTTAATTTTACCACCCTTGATCCTAGCATTGTACCATGAGTCAATTCCAGCATCACACACTCTAGGATCCAGCCACCTCTGAAAAAGCTCCACCTATGACTGCATGAGGCTTTTGGGGGAAAGCTAAACACAAGCCATAACAGACGATTGAGGAAGTCCTGGTAGGTTCAAGGACTTTTGCAGGTGAGACACCAATTGATTCCAATGCTACAATGCAGCCTACAACAAAATTACCTTAAGTTTCCTGAATTCCTTTTTTGTTTCTTCACTTTCAAGGACAAAGACATCATCCTGTAAGTCATATTCTGCCATCTTGGTGGCAGTCATCTGGCCGTTGGTCTCTTTCCACAGCACAACATCATATCCAGTGTTCAAGTCTCCATGGGTGTTGAAATGAAAAGAATTCCTTCCATCAGTGAATGTTACATTTTTCAGCACATCAAGTAACTGTACAAAATGAAAATGAAAACAAGCACTGAACATAAACTTTCTGAGTGCATCCACGATCCCAATCACCACACTGACTTATCAGAAATATATCACTTAAAATGAGAAAAAGGACGATTCTGTGTCACTGGTTGGGGGAACTCTTAACCATCCAGCAGTAATGAGTTCCACTTGAGTTCTAGTCTCATTTGCCAAAGTTTTGCCAAGTTTGTTTCTATGGGTGGGAGCTACTCCATCCTAGGAAATTAAAATCCAAGCACCTGCATGAATTCATGTTGCAGAATTTCGGAATGGTGTCCTGACTATGTCTTTTTCTTTGTGGAATTTTCTCTGGTGTAGAAGAAAGCCCACTGAACGAAGCCTAACTATGCAAATGACGACGGGACAGACCTGTATTTTGGCAGCCTCTTCCACCTCTAAACTGCTGTAAGAAGTGGTCGCCAGTAACACTTCCTCTTACCACATACATAAGACAGCGTGTAAAGAACAGGAGCCCTACCTGGGTGAGAGGTGAGATATATGGGTACTTAGAATGCTGTGGCTTAAATTATCAGTTACTGTTGTCTTTATCCATGCTCAATCACTCTCATGTCATCCCTGCCTTCTACACTAATGTGCAACTACCATGGCTACACATGCATCTCTCATAACATTTTCGATCTCAGCATCTCCAAACAGAATGCTTAATATTTCTTCTCCTCACTTTTCTCCATGTTTCTATGTCAACAAATGACACTGGTTGCCCACATTGGGAATCATTTGTGACACCTATTCTGCACTCTGTAATCTTTTCTATCCAATCTACCCCTAAATGTTCTTCACCCATCCTCTTAAATACATTGGTGTATGTCTCTCCATCCTTCCCATTACATCTGTAGAACAAAGCATTCTTATCCTATGTCTGGATCACCATATTGGTCTTCCTCCTTACAATCTTGTATTCCTCTAATCAATTCACTGCAGCTGAAATGCGATTTCTTCAATGGAGAACAAATCACATCAATATCTTGCCTAAAAATATTTAATTAGCTCCTTTTTGCTCTCTAATGTCCAAATGTTAAACCTCAGGTTTGTAATCTTCCTATTTAAATGATGGTTCCTATATTAGCTGTAAGAGCATTACATGGGAAATTGTTAGAAATGAGATTTTCAGGTCCCATCATGCAACTAGAAAATTAACACCTGCCTAAGATTTCCAGGTGATCCAAATGCACATCAAACTTTGAAATGGCTTAACTGACAAGTTGCTGTCAACATGTCCTTTACAAACTCCTCCAGTCTCTTTTGCTTACAGTTTCCATGTGATACTTCAGTCCCATGGCACCATTTTCTCAGCATTTGCTGACCATTTCTGTCCTCCTACCCTTCTATCACATTCACCACAGACATCACGTTTTCTAGTGTTCTCTGAATTGCCAATATTGGAGAAGCAGGCTCAGTTATGTCCTCTTCTGCCATCTTGGGTTCATATGAAACATGGTCATGCACCATGCCACTTCATGATCGGCTCCATAATCACTTGCCTGCACACCACACTAGACAGATGACTCCTGAAATGAAGGAGTATTTTTGTTTTGTTTTGTTTTTTGGTATCGGGGATCAAACTCAGGACCTTGCGCTTGCGAGGCAGGTGCAGTGCCACTGAGCTACATCCCTGGCCCAGGAGTCATTTTCTTCTCCATGATATCTTCAGTATTCACCACAGTGCCTGGAGCACTGAGACACCCAGCAAACATTTGCTAAATAACCAGGTCTGTTCAACATTGTCCCACAAATATCATTTCCTATCTTATATATCATCAGAAAGAGAAAGAAAAAAAGACCCGAATCACTAGTCACAACAAGAAAGTGGTATCCTCACACGTATCGACAGATCATTAAAAGTGTGTTAAAGTAAATAAGTGTGACTGTGCTGTCTACAAACACTGCTCACAATACCACCAAATAGAGAGCCAACACTGCTCACAATACCACCAAATAGAGAGCCAAAGTGTATTTTATAAAACTAAACCCTTTAAAATTATGTGAATCTCAACTCACTCAGAAAGTGTCATTTAGATATAAGTGAATTTTGCTGGGGGACAAAATGGAATGGATCCACGATAGGGATCCTAAATGTTCCTGATCTTTTAAATTTGGTGACTATGAAAATTTCTTCACGAGAAGAGTTGTTTGCAGTATTTGTCCTGCTGTATCTGGCCCTGCTCAGACAGGTTTACTTCCATCATGATCAAAGGAGCAAGCCACAAGTCTTCCTTTTCAGTCTGTTTGTTGCTTCTAGATTAGCGGGTTATTGGGATCATAAAGGATGACCCCAGGCTCCCAGTGTTTAAACAAAACATTTTAGAGAAAAACTTTCTCAAATCTTTTTCTCAAAATGTATGAGACATAGTCTTGGCTTAAAACAATTTCCCAGCTCTCTAGCAGATAAATAGCTTTGCTATTTGTATTCTTTTTCCTCGTGGGGCTCTGTGTCCTCTTTGTTCTGTCTCTGGAACTGGACTCTATTTCTGTTTCTCAGTCTCTCACTACTAGAGTTGTATGTAAGGATTTTTCAGGGTAGCCTACTTTAAAAAAAGTTTTTCTGCAATATACCAGGCCAAAACTATTGAAATGTTTTAGAAAATATCATACTAAACTTGGATTAGAGGGGGAAATGGTGAACTAAATAAGATAACTTAGAGTTTTCACCAACCCCTCATTAAAGTTTTATACTATTAAGAAAATGCTTACATTTTCTTATGTTTTCAAGCATACATTTAAAAAGCATTACACACATAAATAAATCATTTAAGAGTTTAAATTTTAAAAAGACTCTAATTATTCATTTTACCTCTTCATTATACTTTAGGCTTTGCATTTACAATGGTGAAAATAGTTTTAAAAGTAAACAATAAAAACTCCACAGATATGTACAATAATTATGTGTCAATTAAAAATGAATAGCTTGAAATACATGATTCACTCAAATGTAAGCTGGGTACCTCAGACCTGGAGCTTATATCTATGTGTGATTAAAGCAAACACACAAGGGTTGAGGTGGTTCAGTGGGTAGAGCACAAGTTTAGCATGCGCAAGGCTCTGGGTCCAATCCCCAAACCAATAAAAAAAAGAAAAAGAAAGAATGATAAGAGTGGAAATTAATTGTTCTGGACATCCATTTATATGATAAGAAGAGTTTTGTCTTATTCTGTTATTTTCTTTTCTATTGGAAACTAAAATACATACTTTTTATAATATGATTCTGCCTTAAGATATACAAGTGTGACTTTCAACTATACATTATTGGGAAATTTCTTTCTAATGAGTAAAATGTATTATTACTAAAAGAAGCAATTTATTTTTAAATCCCTTGTTCATGAGCATTAAAAAAATTGACCAACATATGATAATGTGAAATGTATATGTAACAATTCCCCAAGATCAATGAAATTATTATGTATCACAAACACATAAAAAAACCTAAAAATTAAGGAAAACACAAATAGAATCACATTAAACTGTAAATTTCTCCATATAATCAAAGAGAAGACAGAGAATCAGTTTTTATACAGAGTTGGTGGTTCACTTAAACTTGTAAAATCATGACCAGACCAACAACATTCCTTTGACGATGTCTAGAGCTCCAGGCAGAATTCTTTAGACACCAGAGTCTAACTGAAGTGCCAGGGTTTTAAACCACTGGTGATACAGCGAAGAGCAAAGGGTCTAGCATCCGAATATTCAAACTAGGGTCTTATTTAGGGTTCTTCCTAGCTTTAGGTTTCTCACCCATAATATATGTTGAGCACTCCTAATTCAAAAGTCTGAAATCCAAAATGCTTCAAAATCTGAAACTTAGTGACTGCCCATATAATATCACAGTGCAAAATTCCATATCTAAGCTCATAGTCATAACACAGGTGTACTGAAAACATCATATAAAATTGCCTTTGCCCAATGTGCAAGTCATATATAAACATAAATGAATTTTGCATTTAGACTTGGATTCCATTCCCGAGATATCTCATCATATATATGCAAATATTCCAAATCTGAAAAAATTGAAAATTTGAAACACTTCGAGTCCGAAGTATTTCAGAAAAGGTATACTCTACTATATTTAGCAACAACAAAAAGGATCTAGTTCCTGTGATTAAAAATGTTAAAAGAGATCATTTATATGAGAGATTGAAAATTCATGTATTTAAATAAGACAGAATGATTACCAGAATATTCTTGGGAAACAAAAGTACAAAACATTGGTTGGTCAGAGTAGGAGGTGAGGGTAAAAGATACCTGTTGTCTTTAAGAAAAAAGGACCGTGATGACGGCACAGGCTACTCAAACGCAGACCATTTCTCTTTATAGAAGGAACAAGAGTAAAAGCAGCGAATATAAATCTTTGCAAAACAAAGCAAGGAAGTTACTCAGAGAAATGATGGCATTTTCTAGACTATGTCGGCCAGTTAGTACCTCCCATGGTTGAAAGGCATTGGGGTTCCGACAGTCTCGATCTTGGCACAGATCCCGGATAGCGTAAGCAAGTGCAAACACGGCAAGCTGAACACTGCGAAGGAGTCCTGGCTCCGCGTAACGCCAGAGGAAGTCATTCCTCAAGAGCAAGTTCCTTCCTACAGCCTTGTGGCCCTCGTATGTCAACATCTCATGAGAATGGTTAGAAATGCATTGACTCAAATCACTGTCTTTGACCTGTTCACAGGCAGAAGAAAGCATGGCGTATTCATAGAAGAGCTTGTTGTCACTGGGATACATATGGAGAGTTTGAAGAAAGGAATAGAAAGAGGACATATTCCCTCTTCTAAAGGCAAATCCCACAACTTTGCCAATCTTTTTAACGTTGGGAATGGTGATAATCTTGGTAGCAGTTGACCAATTATCACTAGCAATCCACATCTTATTTATATTCCTTTCAATGGCTTTGTTGAAGAGATTGAAAACATGGAATTTCCTCAGAAATACCACAATGACATTAACCTGGGCTTCTGTAATGATTTTTTCAAGTGTCTCATTGATCCTGATTTCGATGGTCTTATCAGTGAGGAAAGCTGGGAGAACCTCCTTGAAAGCTATGCACACTTTATTTGCTGCAGCCTGAACTGCAAATGCATCCAGAGCCAGTCGTCCATAGTCATCATCTGTGGTTATGACACCAATCCAGTTCCATCCAGATTTTTGAATTAGTTGGGCCATTGCTTTAGTTTGATGGAAGTCACTGGGCACAGTCCGTAAAAATGAAGGAAAACGAATTTTGTCACTTAGGATTTCTGCAGTTGATTCATAACTCACCTAGAAGTGGACAGAATCTTTTAGTTATGGTGTTGGTAAGGTCAAGGTGATTGTTTATAGTAGGTTGTCCTCCCTTTGATTTCCATGAGTTTCCATACATTTTTCCTAAATTTTGTGGTTCCTTCTATCTTGCCCTTTGCATGAGTTCCCACTGTACAAATAGCTAACCCACTTACCACCAAAGCATGGTTCAGGATCAGTGCTCTCTAATCGTATTGTCTATAGTACAGGGTCTGTCTTATACCTCCATTTATGCAACTATATACATCTACATCCAGCTTAAACCTTGGGCCATGACCAATAATAGATATTTTAAAATTTAGGGGTAAATATAGACAAAATGTAAACATAATGCATTTGGGATTAAGGACATGAAAAATCTTGTTTAATCCACAACTTTGCTAATTTTACTTTAGGTAAACTCATCCCGTCCAGGGGTCAATAAACATTTCTGTAAAGGACCAGAAATAAAATATTTTGTTTTGTTTCAAAGCTTTGTTGTTCACATATAGTCTATACATTCTTTATTGTATTTTTCTTGTTAAAACTTTCAATAAATCAGAACCTTTCTTAGCTTGACAGCTCAGTAGCTAAAGAGCCACATTTGTTCTGTGGGGTATGGTTTTCCAGTGTCTGATCAAGTTGAATATACATCAGCATTTTGGGAGACCTACTTAATGTGTGAAAAGTTTTGCTTGATTTATAGCTTTTGTGATTTTATTTTATGGAGAATTACTGGAATTATTGCCTCCCACAGTTGCAATAGCATGATGTAACTTGCTTAGTGAAGTGTTTTTGTTTTTTTTTTCTACTCAACAGTAGCCAAGGAAGGGGTCTGGTAGACATAATATAGGCTTTGGAGCCAGACAGAATTTTAGAATCCTAACTTCAATAAATTTGGAAAAGTTATTGATTATTTCTTTACCTGTACAATAATAGGATTCTTGTTAAAATTAAAGGAGAAATCTTAAATGGACACTAGCACTCTGTGGACACTAGCACTCACAAAGCCTAGCTGCCCTCCTGGTGCCGACTTCACTGTGTGGCTGCATGATAAATCTGGGCTTCCACTCGTGCAAGATCAGTGTCCCCCGCAGGTCTCCCTTTCCTGTTTGGTTCTGTCATAGAAATTACAATGAATGTTCCTTGAGCTTAGAGAGCACGGACTCAGGAGTTCCAAAGCGTCCCCATGCAAAGGTAAGTGGGCTCAAACGGAATCCACGGAGACCTGCTCAATGTGGACTGACCCTGAGCAATGTGCAATAGTTAATATAACAGCATTTTGATCTTTCAGAAAAGTTTTGCTTAGTTTCAGATTGCTGCCCTGCATTCCTGAGAAGCAATCGGGTTTACTGCCTACCACAAACAATGCCTCTGCTCACCAGGTGAGGCACGGCTCAGCTTCTGCTTGTCTCTGCAAATGCATTTTAGTTTTCTCCTTTCTGTTCGAATCAATCCAGCTACGAAGACCTTTGTGCTAGTCTTTCATCTCTGTGCTCGGTGATTTCTTTGCCAGATACTCTCTACACCTCCACAGAATCACCTTGGTATTCTTTTTATCCACAGTGGAGGATAAGTATCACCTCCTTGAGAAGACTTCTCTGGTCCCTTAACCTGGCTACCCTTCACCCACTCCAGTTTCTTTCACACCTGATTGATGCTAAGGAAACAAGGAAGTCGGGGTCCTCAGAATGTGCGTCTTATTCAAACCGATAGAAACTAGAGCTGACTGATGTAACTGCAACTCCCTAACTAGTTTCTCCAGTTTTTTCTGATCATTTCATCATAACAAACATGATCAAACCAGTGAATGGACATGGAACAAAACCCACCTGTGGCATGAGCTGTAGGTTCAATGTCCTGGAGACAGCCATGGTTATTTCTGAGTAGCCAGCACCTATGACAGCCTTAACTCTTGGTATGTAGCTGGAATAGTCACACTGAAACTCCAGAGAGCCTCTGGAGGAGCCGAGTGTAGAAAGCAACCTCAGTGTAGCTGCCATGGCTGCTGTGACTTCTGTACAAGTGTCATAAATTTCGTACCCCAATTTGATTCCAGATAATAATGTGGAATTATTGATCATTTCAATGCTGTGTATCATGGCAAGAGTTTGAAGAAAGACTGATATTTCAAAGCTGTTGAGAAATAAGTGTTTTCAAATGTAAAACATAACTTCTATAGATATGGTGATATTTTATTTATATTTCTGCCTTATATCAGATAATTTTTGGATAAATGAAGTCTATATCTTGAAGGATCTAAACTTTCTTTGAAAGTGAGTTTTCATGGAAACTTTTAAGAAGGATAATACCAGACACCACAGTTCTTAAATGGAGGCAACAGTGCAGAATTTAATCCTTTCTTGAATCTGCATCAGTTTTAAATATTCATTTTAGTATTTTGCAGTATGAGATATGTCTGATTTGGGGGGTTTTTTGTAATTTGTTGTGAGTATTTTATTACCATTATCTTAGACTCAAATCCCATTTTCAGTTTTCTGATTTCAATTTATTGTGGTTGGAAACTAGATAAATAAGACACTTAAAAATTCCACTTAAATAGTACCTGCGTAAAAGTCCAACAGGCTTCTAGCAAGTGCACTGGTTTAATACAGAGACAGCACTTTCCATATTTAGAGGACACTTCCAAAGTACTTCTCTACCTGTGATCATCCCAGATCCCTGAGTTGCTTCATATTGATTTTCTGTTATTACATCAGTTATTGTATGCAAAAGATTATAAATAGTGCCTAATACATAATACAAGTTCAACAAATGCTTTTCCACATGAAGAAAGAGGGATACACTGGTAGGCGTTTTGAAGGCTTGAAGTTTTCTAGTAGTTCATTAAGTTATGCTACATTACTTAAGAATTACTACTTGTCATTGAGGACTGTCTGAACATGAGGTTTAAAAGATTAGTATTATAATTTTTATTTTTAAAAAAGATATAGGATACAAATGCAACATTTAAAAATATCAACAGCTTTTCTATATGAATAATGAACTAGTTAATAAGGAAGTCAGCAAAACAATTCCATTCACAATAGCTTCAAGAATTAAAAAAAAAAATCTAAGAGTCAATCTCACGAAGAAAATAAAGATCTCTACAGTAATTACAGAACTCCGAGGCAGAAATAGAGAAGCGGGCGGGGGATTTAGCTCAGTGGTTCTGCCACCTGCCTCGCAAGCACAAGGATCAGAGTTAGATCCCTGGTACAAAAAAGAAAAAGAAAGAAAGAAAGAAAAAAAGAAATTGAAGATAGAAGAATCTCCCATGTTCACAGACTGACAAGATTAATATTGTTAAAATGACCATATTACCAAAAGTGATCTGTACGTTCACTACAATCCCCATCAAAATTCTAACGACATTCTCCACAGAACTAGAAAAAAAATCCCTAAAATTCATATGGAAACAAAAAGCCTCCGCATAGCCAAAGCTATTCTAAGCAGAAAGAGAAAGCCTGCAGGCATCACAAAGCCTGATTTCAAATTATACTACAAAACAGTGGCAACAAAAGCAGGATAGTACTGGCCTAAAAGTGGACTCAGGCCAATAGAATAGAGGATACAGAAACAAATCACACAACTGTAGCCATCCGATGCTTGACAGGAGCCAAAAAAATAATTTGCAGTATTATTTAACCATGGAAGAGAATGAATTGTGTCATTTGCAAACAAGTGGATGCACTGGAGAACATCACGTTAACTGAAATGAGCCAGACGCAGAAAGTCAAGTACCCTGTGTTCTCCCTAATACTGTAGAAATCTAAAAAAACACATGGAAGTAGAGGAGACCATTATTAGATAAGAGGAAAAGAAAAGGCGACAGGATAGGGAAGTAAAAGGGGAGATAATCAGGTGGATATGACAGAAACATTATATGTGCATGTATGAAAACACTACATGGAAACTCAGTATTTTAAAAATTCACAGGCACTAATATATTAAAAATAAAGAAGAGAGAAATAGTAAACTTATATTCCTTAATATTTAAATTGCACAATGTTGGCAGAGTCCCTCACGTGTAAGCTCTATTACAGTCAGAATAATTTTGTTTGATATATTTACCAGGATGTCCCCGGTGCCTAGAACAGGGGGTAATGTGGGCACTTCACTTAGTAAGTAGTGGTTTAATGCTGAATGAAAACTATTTCTCTTGATGACTGACAATAAGGAAAAAGATTTTCAATTCAGTAATTTTTCTTTTTCCTCAGGAGAAATCTGTTTGGGGTCAAATGACTGTTTTCCACTTGTTGTTGGCCTACAGCTATAGTCCTCAAACCTGCAGCCACTGGGTACCAATGTCGTGCTCCAAAAATTCCCACCACTGTTCTGTGTGACCTCCCGGGGCTCCTCTGATCAAAGATTCCGATGACAATAGCTCCCAGTGCCCAGCATCTGGGGAGGCCAGCAAGGGACTCCGTGTTATAGATTGCCTTTTATCTGAAAGTATTTTTAGAAGGCTTGGTAAATACTTTTTGATGAAGAAAATAGAAAAGGTAGGAGAAAAGAGAAGATTAAATTTATGTCAGGTCAGAATCAGAATTTTAGAATTAGAAGGAAGCCTGGGAACCACATTGTCAGAGTAACTGAAGCTAAGGCTGCCTGTGTCCTCAGAGGTCTGGAGAAGTCAAAGGGCTCAAGTGATTTGCCTATGTTTGCACTGGAACTGAAATTAGAGTTAAACATCCCCTCCTCTTAAGGAAAATGCATTTGAAACTCCCTCCCGCAGCATCACTTGTCCACACTACACTGTGCTAACTTCTCTTCTGTGATTAAGCTTCATGACAGTGTCCACGTCAGGAAGGAAGTTTTGAATAGAGAAGGGTCATAATTTTATCACCAAAGCATTAGATTATTTCAAGTATGAGATGAATATGGCATTGACCCAAACTTTGAGAAAAAATGTAAATGTAGCCTATTTTAAATTAAGTGTTAAATAATAGATCTATATTTAAAACAGTACATGTTGTGGGTGACAGAAATACAAATATACTGAACTATGTTTGAATGGAGTAAAGAGCAGGTTACAGTGTCTTCTCAAGTGAGTTCAGGAATTCCTTTTTTTGGTACCGGGGATCGAACTCGGGTCATTGCACTTGCGCAGCAGGTGGCAAAACCACTGAGCTAAATCCCCGGCCCAAGAATTACTTTTTAAAGGCACAGTCCAAAAAAACATTAATGAGAGACATCCGTTACCTCTGCACTTGAAGGTTGTTGGATTACACATAGTGCTGATGAATGCAAGACTAACCACATGCAAGTGAATACATACACATACATATGTATACCTATGTGCTCAAATTTTATTAAACTAATGTAGATATTAATACACTTAATATCATGGCATAATCTTGATATCTAAATGTGTTTTGGGGGCTTTACTCACCCAATGCATTTCTCGATTTGTGGCCTTCTGGGGTGGTCTTCTGAGAACATCATTTTTTCGTGAATGGGGAATAAACCTCCAATCATGATATGTCCTGGAGAAGTGACAGCCACAAAGTCATCAGGGGTCTGGCAAAGCTGAGAAGCATGAAGAATAATCAGAAAGCAGGTAAGTAGTATAAAAAATGCCATGTTTCTATCTCATTTGCTCAGTTCCTGAGTGCACTTAGGGTCATTATATTCACAGGGTGCCTTCAACAAGGTTCTTACTTCACTTGTAAACACCTTGCAAGGTATAGGGCAGTGGCCAGGGCGGGAGGCACTCAGCATTCAGACAGTTGATGATAGTGAAAACAGTTCTTTCACCAATAAGAACATGTCAGGCTCTCTCTGACACTCTCCAGTGTTGGAGTTAGATGTGTGGTAGTCATCATTCATGGTAACAGCTGACAGCATCATAAACACAAGTCTCACTGAAATCGTAATGCTTTGCTCCTATGACATGTCAAGGGATTTGATCATGTTGGAATTTCTTTTAAAATAGAATGTAGACTCCTCAGGAGGGAGTAGTTGGAAAAAAATTTTCACTGTAACAGTGGAAAGGTTTGCATTTCTAAATGTATCATATTTAACACACACAAATGATTCAATGTTTATTGGGTGTGCAGGGAAAAACCATCCTTTTATTTTTCCTCAAAAGCTCTATTGAATAAAACAAAATTTAGTTACCTTTATTTTAAAATCCCTTCTAGTTTCCATGTGTTAGAGAAAATAGCTTTTGTGGTGATGGCAAAACTAAAAACAAGATGAACCTTGGTTCATACAGTTTTTTGGTTTGAACAAGAAAAATTGCAATTTTCACCATTACTTGTTTTATTTTAGTGTATTTTTTAAATTTGGGAGTAATTTCAGGATACAAGTTCTTAAATGCTAAGGATTCCAAGCAGACAGGATTTGATGGGTATCTTTGGAATTTAACAGAGGACAGACAACTCCCAGTAATTTAGGCAGCATTAAGAAAAAGTTTTAAGTTTTAAAATATGTTTTTCAAAATCGATCTTTTAAAAATATTTGATATAAAAGGAATATTTGATATAAAATCATGTGAAACAATACAAATTCTATTTATACATTTAGTTTGATGGGTAGCAAATACATTTAAAAGAATTTCAAAAAATAAAACAGTACAGTGGCTAATGCAGTATTTTTTTAAAAATTCATTAAGCTTATTGATATATGTTAGGTATGCAATACAGTTATGTTCATCATTGGAAGCTTGTACCTGTACATGATGCATCTTGGTTCTTATTTTTTCCCTTGTTTCTTATTTTTCCCCATTCTCCTGCCCTCCCTTCATCCCCTCCATCACTCCCTATTTGTATTAAATTCTTTTATTGGTACATTGTAGGTACACAACACAATTACATTTCTCATTGGGAATTGTACCTTTATATAATGCATCTT